GTCCCGAGTCATGCTGCTCCCTCCAACATGGTGGGAGAGGCTGATAGGTGAAAGGACAGTGGGGGGTGTTGGGTGAAGTGTTTTTTTTCCTTTTGTCTGGCCTTTTGGCACAACGTTGCTCGAAAACCAAACGTATACAGAGGGAGTCTGCACCTTGTGGTACCAATCGGAACTTTTGAGTGAAACCAAAACAGGAAGTATGACCTGAAATAAAACAGGAAAAAAAAAAAGAATCTCATGATCCATTTGGCCTCTGCTTCCTCTTTTTCTGGCTTTACACCCAGAAATCCTTCTGTAAGTCTTTCTGAATGGGGCGGAGCTTTTCTTGTGCTTCCTTTTCACTTTAAAGACCTAAAAAGGCTTAAACTGTGCGCGACTTTTCTCTAAAAAAATGACCGAGCTCCGTCAAACTACTTGCCCCCTGGTTCTCGCCTCCAACGTCGTGAAGCTCCAGCAGTTTGCTTCTTCCTGCGGCCCGGGGAAAGGCTCTGCTCTGATTGGTTGGAACTGGGTGGACTCTGCTTTGATCAGGTGCTCAGAGAGGGGCTGCGCTGGAAGGAAATCAAAGGATGGATGCGAGAGATGTAAAGCGTGTCGGACAGAACGCTCCGCAGCTGGAGCTCAAAGAAGAAAAACAGAGAAAGCACCAGTTTGAAAACAGAAAACAGCGCGACAGGTAGAAAGGTGGAAGGTGTGAGACGTGATTGTCAGACTCCAGCTAAGCTCTGATTGGCTACTTCTGTCTCTCCCTCTTTCATTCCTCTTTCCCTGTCTCGCCATCTGGTTTTTGATTGGTTGTTCAGGGGCTTATTGTTGTCATCTTCAGGCCATGTTTGCACCCTCTGCTCAGTTGTGGTCCAGTGTGGTCCATTTTCTGATCATTTCAGGGCGGGGGTGGGGGTGGGGACTGGGGTAGGTGATCGCCCTTCGGTCACTAGGACCGAGTGCCAGGCGGCGGTCCTGAGCTGTCCAGTGACGTCTGAGACGCCAGCCGCGTGAGTGGAGCTAATGTAGGGTCCACCAGTGAGGATGGTGGGAACAGTTTGTACCAGCCAATCACTGTGCTCGAGAGCTCCAGCTCCTCCAACAAGATCTGTGCTACACCCATGAAGCATTTATGGTCCAGTCGTCCATAGTCACCCCAGACTATCACCTGCAAGGAGATCACAACAAATGAGCTGAGTGAGTGTTTTCTGCTGCAGAACAATGTAAATACCAGAGGTTTGTAGTTACTAAGTGCATTTACTTCGTTACAGTACTTAAGTAGGTTTTTTTAGGTTTTATAATTTTAAAAATTATTTTTTAAATTGCTACTTTGACTTTTATTTTGTTACATTTCAAAGCTAAAAATGACACATACATCTTTACTTTAAAACATAACACCTAGTTACTTGTTATAAAATTAAATATGTTCAAACTCATCATGAAAGAAGATGTTTCTGCACTCTAAAAAATGAAATGTTGAATTTACTCAATAAAGTCCTGTCAGCAGACTCCACTAAGCCTAGTTGAGTAAATGGAGCAAATAATATACATATATTGCTCAGTTTACTCAACCTGGCTCAGTGGAACCAGTTTCAACAGTTTATTTCTTAGAGAGTGTGTAAAAGTACTTTTACTTTTACTTTCCCTATTTTTGTCAATAGTTTTATGACTTTTACTTCAGTAGTTTTCTCAACAGGGAAATTTTATTTTTACCAAAGTTTTCTGTTCATGTAATTTCTCTTTTAATTATTAC